CTGGGGAAGTTTTCCTGCACTCTAGTTGCAGTTTAAGCTCATTATTTCTTTTCTCCCTGTTGTGGACATGGAAAGCATTTTATTACCTTCCTCTCTGCAGTTTTACTTTATCCCTTCACTGAGATACCCGGTTGGATTCCACTGATACCAAACCACCTAAGTTTGTTTGATTTTGCCTCACAGGTCGTACTTTCCAGACCTCTGGTTGTGCCCGTTGCTCTCTGAATTCTCCCTGATACGGGTTTACGTCCTCTTCAAAGTCTGGTTACACGGCGGTGAAGGTCATAGTCCATCTGACTCTGCACCAGCAGCAAGCAGAGAAAAATTCTGGTACACACAAGACATTGCTCATCTGGCTTGCAGAAAATGATCTCAGTATTGCATCTCAGATATGATAGTCTGTCTTTCTAATTATAGGCAAGCATCTAGGTAACCAAGGAGGGCAAGGGCGATGCTTTTTGCACGCCTGAAGCAACAACAGCAGCATTGAACTGTTCTGATTTAGGATTGATTACATCTAAAAATCAATTTTGTTTTTATATTGGAACTGTACCTGTCTGCAGAGCTCAACTGGGAGGCTGGATGAAGCTTATACTGTAAGTCAGCTTCCACTAAAAATTCAGATTTCATTAAGACAACCTTTAGCAGAAACACAGACACTTCTCCTCAAACCCTAACATAAATGGGAGCAGATGCATCTGCAAAAACCAGCCAGCATTCCTGGGATTGTGTGACCCTCAAATATTACAGGTCTGAGATCCTTAGAATTTCTTCACCTGGAAAAAGGGTGGGTCTACACAGATAAACACCATCACTTCCCAGTTTGCTTTCCACTGAGTTTCTATGCTGTACATAGCACAGTTTGTTCCTGGAGTCTCTTTGAGAGCAAACCAGTGAATCCCCTCTGAGAGAAACCCAGAGGCATAGCTGAATAAACAAGAAGGTATGGATGCAGCCGTACCCTGTCTCTCTCTATGTGCCCAGTACGGTCCTCCAGCATGACTCCAAAAAACCCCATGCCCTCGACTGCAGCTAAAACCTCTCAGGCCATTTTTCAGCATATGTGCCATTCTCCACCCTCCGATAAAATCGCTCACTGATAGGTGGGGCAGAAATGAGACACTCAGCAATACAATTTGCAGAGAACTACAGAATCACAGAATGATTTGGGTTGGAAGGCACCTTACAGATCATCTCGTTCCATCCCCCCTGCCATGAGCAGGGACACCTTCCACCAGACCAGGTTGCTCAAAGCTGCGTCCAACCTGGCCTTGAACACTGCCAGGGAGGGGGCAGCCACAGCTTCTCTGGGCAACCTGTGCCAGTGCCTCAACACTTTCAGAGTAAAGAATTTCTTCCTTCTACCCAGTCTAAAGCTACCCTCATTCAGTTTAAAACCATTGCCCCTTGTCCTATCGCAACAGACCCTGCTAAAAAGTTTGTCCCCGTATTTCTTATAAACCCCTTTCAAGTACCAAAAGGCTGCAATAAGGTCTCCCCGGAGCCTTCTCTTCTCCTGGCTGAACAGCCCCAACTCTCTCAGCCTTTCCTCATAGGAGAGGTGCTCCAGCCCTCTTACCATTTTCATGTCCCTCCTCTGCACCGACTCCAACAGGTCCGTGTCTTCCTGGTGCTGGGGACCTCAGAGCTGGACTCAGGACTCCAGATGGGGTCTCAAATTTTCCCATACATTGAATTAGTGACAAAGTTGTCCCCCTGCCACCACTCCCAACTCAGTCTGCACACTCAGATCACACCCACCACCACTTTTAAAAAAGAACAAAAGTGGAATGGATGTTTCCAACACGAATGACATTTTCAGCGAGGCGGTGTCACGGTGGGTTCAGACAAGCCTGCGCTCTGATGGATGGGTGATGGACAGAGAGGAGCTCTGCCTGCCAGCATCTGGGTTGCAGGCAACGGCAGCATGGCTGGTCGCCTTGGGACCCCTTGGAAAAGGAACCCACGAGGGGTCATCGCTCCTATCCCAGTCACAACTAAAAACAGTGAAAACCTCTGTAAAAGCCTGGCAATTTGGGTGGCTCAGCTGGCAGCCCCCAGGGGAAGGAGGCCAGGCAGAGATCTTTCCTGGCTCCCTCCAGGCAGCCTCTCCAGACCCGTTTCCATGGAAACTGAATTTAAAGGGACAACAAGCAGGGAAAAAAGCGCATTTTCATTAATTCCTCATTTAAAATCTCAACCTTCTGTTTGTCGGGGACACATTTAGTGCCATGGAGGAGGATATGGGGGCCAGCTGCCGAGCAGCAGAGCTGTGTGTTAGTCACTCATTTTCTTCTTCCTTGCATGGAAACAGATGTTGTGTCTGAGGAGATAGGTAGCCAAATTCAGACTTGGACAACATTTCTCTCTTTTTTTGTTCCCCCCATCCAACTAGGTGAGATGAAGAGTCTGCAATGTTGTCGGCAGCTGCACATGATTTCTTGTCATCTGTTTTAGGAACAGGCTAATGGCTGCAGCCTGACAATGCTGGCTGAAAACCACTGCAGCAGAAGATGCAAAGGGCCTGATGCTGTCCCATTGAAGCTGACAGGAGTTTTGCCATTTGGAAACTCACATGCTTCCCTCAAAGCCTGGAAAGGATGAGGGCAGGTGTGCTCCCAGCAGCTGGCAGTCGTCTCACCCAAGATGTCAGTGATGGACACCATCAGACAAGTTTCGCTGAAAACACTCCCCAGGAATTTTATGGAGTTTTTAGGGGAAAAATGACCTACTGGCAAAGTGAATTGCACATGAGAGTACTCCAACCACTTGGTTGCATCCTCTGTGGGGAAAACGTGCTTTATTGTTGGGTAACACTAAAGCATGCCACCTAGGAGTGCCCTTCAGCTGCTGGCACGGTGTGCACATCTCCCCAAGGGTTCCCTGGGGACAGCACTCACACATGTGCTGGTCACTTCTTTGTGGCTCATTGGTTCCCACTGAAGGGAAGGAGACCTGGACACGTAGGCAGAGAGGTGGCCAGTGAGCCTGGAGTCCACATGCTCTCTTTTCCTTAGCTCCCCTAATAGCACCAAATGGAGGGAACCCCACAAGACAGCTCTTGAGCGTGTCAGGATTCATTTGCCCCAGCCTCACCAATTTTAGCTGCAAGATGATTCAACACAGTTCTTACTCCCTGCCTGGCAGGAAGAAGTCATGAGATAATGTTATTTTATAAACATGGGAGGTCTTGATGAAAACTACTTTTTTTCTGTATTTTTCCTAGTGCAGAGAAACCCCTGGAGATGTGAAGCAGGCTGTGTACAAAGGAAATAAAATAGAGCAGATGATAATTAGTGTGTTATGAGCTAATACAACACAGAGATCTATATTACTCTCTGTGCAGATGTCCCCAAACCTTCTACAGTGGGTAAAGTAGTAAATGACAAACAGTTTTCATACACCAGATCAAACAAATCAGCTATAATCACACTACACTGCAAGCACTGAATTATATTAAGCAGGTGGATCCCAACTTGTATTTCAGTGTATAAGCTAGGCAGACGACGTGCATGGAATTTTAACAAGAGCAACAAAACTTCCCTATTCCAGGTGCATGACAACAGATAAGATCATTGCTTTGAGTGACAGAAAAACGGAATCACAGCTATCTCTGACTCCTTTTCATTGCTCTGCCAGCAATGAAAAGTTTGCAGACCCGCTGTCTTTATTATCTTCCACATGGTGGATAGGGAGGAGAGGAGTGTATCTGGCACAAGGTGAGGAGAAGAGGACTGCAGCTCCTGGCTATGGTCCTGTGAAATCACACTAAGCACATGGAATCCCCTTCCTACCTTAACTGCTGCAGCCACTTTGCTGCTCTGGGGCTTCCACTCCAGCTATGCTGCAGTGGTCCAAGCGTGGGCTTGCTGTGGAAGATAAACCACGCCACTGAGCCACAGGCTCCTCTTCCCAGGAAAGGCATTGGAGCATGGCCAGCAAGCCCCCATCCCATCACGGTGCTCTTGTGCCTGGGGACATACAGGGGTGGGAAGAGTTTGGGAGGGGCCATGAGGCTGCCCAGGGTGGGCTGGCTGCCTGGCTGGCCCAGGAGGTGGGCAGCTCTAAAAGCCAGAGGCCATGACCTCCTGCTTGTGGCCAGATCCGGCTTAGTCATCTCACAGCCTGGAGGCTTGCAGGTCAAAGACCAAAGCATTCACTTAGATTCATGCAGCTAGAAGACCCCATTTTGGTGATTTCTCACTTCTCCTCACGGCAGGTCTCCGTGGAGGTGGCTGGAGAACCCTTCTCCTTTTCTGGCTGTTGGTGCTGAGCATGTTGCAGGATGACCACCTCCTTGAGTCACCCTCCACGTTTGATGGGACCCCTTGGCAGCTGCAAGTGATTCCTGATAGGTTTGGGATGTTTCCTCGTCTCTTGGTTCCCAGGTTTCCAGAATGCATTTCACTGGGAAACAGTTGTGCCCCAGAACCTCGTTTCACCTCTCCTCTTCTCTGTGGATGGGGTGACACCCCCAGTCTGTTTTCTAGCATTTCCATGTGTTGGAGGAGCTGAGTGCTGTCTGCATCTGGGTGGTCCCTGAGTTCAGCTGCGTACACAGGATCTGTGCTTGGCCTCCATAGGGTCAAAACATTTGGGTCTGGAGCTAGAGCTGAGATCTGCTGCCGGGCACGAAGGGAAGATCCTGCAGAAGCTGACTTTCACTTGAGAGCATTGTGGCAGGAAGGAGACTATTCCGCCAACAGCTAAAGCTCTGACTTAATTCATTTCAGTCAACCAACCTCCTCATTAGCATATTAAGGTGAGCAGGACACTCATTTTGGAAGAGAAAAACTAATGGAGTGCAAGTGTTACAGAGCTGCTTGTCTTACTCCAAGTACAATACAGCATCAGCAGAGCTTCACTGTCCAGCGAGGGTCTCTCCTACAGCCTGAGTATCTGATTTTGCAGCCAGCAAAGAACCCATGGCTTCACTAGTATGCAAGAATTAAATCTCAAAACTACCACTAATGCTTGAACTGCCAGGGCATGCAGACAGCTAACTGCCCTTTGCCATCTTCGGCTGTGATGCATCATTCTCTTGCCCACACTGCAGATGTTCTGTGTAACCTGGAAAAAAGAGAGGAAATAATCTAAAAAGAGGCAAAAAACATCTGGACAGAACATGATCATTTATTCTGAAATAAGAGAAAAGAATCATAGAATCATGGAATGCTTTGGGTTGGAAGGAACCTTTTAGAGGTCATCTAGCCCAACCCCCTCGGCAGCAAGCAGGGATGTCTTCAACTAGACCAGGTTGCTTAGAGCCCCGTCCAACCTGGCCTTGAATGTTTCCAGGGATGGGGCCTCCACTGCCTCCCTGGACAACCTGTGCCAGTGTTTCACCACCCTCATAGTAAAAAAATTCTTCCTTATATCCAGTCTAAAGTTACCCTCTTTTAGTTTAAAGCCATTACTCCTTGTCCTATCGCAACAAGCGCTGCAGAAAATATTTTCCCCACCTTTCCTATAGGCCCCTTCAGGTACTGGAAAGCTGCAATAAGGTCTCCCCGCAGCCTTCTCTTCTCCAGGCTGAACAGCCACAAGGCTGCGAGGACACGTTGGTGGCTCATGTCCAGCTTTTCATCAACCAGTACCCCCAAGTCCTTCTTGGCAGGGCTGCTCTCAATCCCCTCATCCCCCAGCCTGTATTGATATTGGGGATTACCCCGACCCAGGTGTAAGACCTTGCACTTGGCCTTGTTGAACCTCATGAAGTTCACGCAGGCCCACTTCTCCAGCTTGTCCAGGTCCCTCCAAATGGCATCCTGTCCTTCTGGTGTGTCAGCTGCACCACTCAGCTTGATGTCATCTGCAGACTTGCTGAGGGTGCACTCAATCTCGCTGTCTAAGTCATTGATGAAAATGTTAAACAGCACCGGTCCCAGTATGGACCCCTGAGGGACACCACTTGTCACCGGTGTCCATTTGGACATCGAGCCGTTGATCACTACCCTCTGGCTGTGACCTTCCAACCAGTTCCTTAGCCACCGAACAGTCCACCCATCAAATCCGTAT